CCAAGCCTTTTATTCTGCCTATATAGCAAAAAAATACAAAAGGAATATATAGCAGCTAACATAAAGTCCAAAATACCGCAACAGGAATGAGTTAAATAAAAATCTACATCAATGGATTTTTTTTCAATATGTCACGTGATAAAACATTATACAAATTCCCAAATACTGTAAACTAAAAATAATAATAAAAAAACTATTCCCATCTTTCTCTTCTCATTGGGTACATGTGTATTTCTCATTAGAGCAAATCAAAAAGGGAACAGCTGACTTTCCAACAGGGGCCTCTAAAATTTTATTTTATTGTGGGGCCAGAAACCCTTCAAGGCAAGTTTGAACCATAGTCGACAGGAGTTGCGCTAGACTAGAAGAAGTGCTCAGTATTTAGACTGCGAGAGGGAATTGCAAAGAAGAACTGTGCAATTTTTAACAGTTCTGAACAGCATTCAGCAGCTTTGACATTCAGAAAATATTTGGTCCATTTTTCATGTGAAAGCAGATGTTGGAACTCTTCTTCATCGCTGGAAGTTTCCACAAATTTTTTCAGATTGTTGAACTGAAAGGAGCACTTCATATTGTCAATTTCCAGACCCTTCTTACTTAAGTACGTTATACATGCTTCCACGTCACCCCAGCTTGGTGTGTCGCTTAGGGCCATCCAGGCGAAGCAGGAGAACTCCTGCAGAGACGCCATCCACATCTCCAGGTAGTCTATGCAGTTACTGTAGAGGCGATGCACCACATCGGAGAAGGCGTCGCATTCGGCCTCCAGCCCCTCCTTGCGCTTGTCCGCAAGCATCCCCTTCACCGTCAGGGACACGAAGTTCTGAGCTCTTCGGTCGAGCAGGATGGTGTGCACGGACTCCAGCGTCCTCATCACTTCCACGATGGAGTTGTTTTCCCGTTCCATCTCTTCGATGTGTAAGTGGAAGGCGTTCATCAGCGAGTGCATGTGCCAGAGGTAGAGCTCACTGAACTCGTGCTCAAAGAAGCTCCTGAGCACGGTGGGCGGGTTGCTCTGGCCCAAGAAGAAGGACTTCAAGGCCGAGTGCATCTGCAGCAGCTTTGTGATGCCCGGGAACAAGGACAGCCATCGGGTCTTGCTGTGGGAGAGCAGCCGTTTGTACTCCACCTCCACAAACTCACAGTACTCTTGCAGGGGCTCGGTCCGCACTGCGTATATGTGGAAGTACTGGTAGATCTTCAGGACGATGTTCTCTATGTCCACCTCCAGGGCGTCTGCTCCGTGGTGGATGCAGTTGTGCAAAACGTGGGCCGGGCAGTACACCCCAATCAAAGTCTCTCTCTGGAGGGCTCTCCTCAATTTGGCCAACACAGTCCTCGCCTCGTCTTGCCGCAGTTCACCAAACATGGTGTTGCAGTTGTCCCCTGCAAAGGCCACGCATTTCTGGAGCAATCCATGTTTCTTAAGAGCTTTGACGAGATAGTCCGAAATGGTGTCGCCCATCACGGTGGGCGTTTCCTGAAGTTCCAGCAGTTTGGTCTTCAAGCCGCCGTTCCTGTAGTCGTAATATTGGATGAGCACCGGGACCATTTTCACGGCCCTGTGATTGCTGTCGTCTATAGCCACCCCACAGAAAGGGATGCCGCCTTCTTCCAGGGCCTCTAGGTCAACAATATCTATGTGTGGGGCAAGCACACAATTTTCAATACCTTCTCTTTTGGTTTGGACACTGAAAAATCTTTGAGCTAGGTCTGCATCAGAAAATAATTTTCTCAACAAGACAGAGTTACAATCCCTTGGTTTGTTGCTGCTGTGATTCATGACTGTGTGGAATGCTAAAGTGCTCTCACCCGCAGTCATAGCATCCTCTGTTTCACTGTCTGGATCCACAAAAAAGTCTGTTTTTGCAGACCAGTTGTCCCGTGTTATTGCTTTGTTGCGTTTGTATGCTTTGAGTGCCTTCTTGTGTTTGTCAGAGGACATGTGATACTCCAGATCCCCAGGACCTTTATGTGCGACGGACACAAACGTGCCAGGTTTGCAGACCAAACACTCTGCTTCGTAGTCATCTCTACCTTTGCGAAAATCAGGATAATTGCGCCTGGTTTTCTCAGTAAACAGACATTTTCTTTTAGACATTATTTTGCCTTCAAAAGGAACCTTGGGATCCTGCAGGAAACAAAGTGCAGAGTTTGAACTTCAAAGTTCAGGCTTTGAAGGAATACAATATAGGATCATAGGCCTGGAAGAGACCTCAGAGGTCCTCTAGTCCAACCGTCTACCAGGTTGTCCAGTCTATTTCTGAAAACCTCCAGCGATGGAGCACCCACCATTGTGATCATAAGTCGAGAATTACCTGTACAGGTAGTCCTCGACTTACAACAGTTCATTTAGTGAGCGTTCGGTGTTACAATGGCACTGAAAAAAGTGACATGACCGTTTTTCACATTTACAACCATTGCAGCATCCTTAGGTCACGTCATCAAAATTCATCTGCTTGGCAATTGACTTATGTTTATGACGGTTGCAGCGTCCCCAGGATCACTTGATCCCCTTTTGACAAGCAAAGTCAATGGGGAAGCCAGATTCACTTAACAACCGGTTTACTAATATAACAACCGCAGTGATTCACTTAACAAGTGTGGCAGGAAAAGTCGTAAAACGGAGCAAAAGTCACTTGACCAATTTGTCACTTAGCAACATAAATTTTGGGCTCAGTTGTGGTCGTCAGTTGAGGACCACCTGTATAGTACATGTCACTAGGTCGCTGTGAGAATGAGCAGGGGCATTCTCAGAAGTTTGTTCCTTTTAACCTTGGTTGCAAACCATCCAGTGATAAATAAACAGGCTAAACCCGGGGGTAGACAACCTTGGCTCTTTTATGACTCGTGGACTTCAACTCCCAGAATTCCTGAGCCAGCATAGCTGGCTCAGGAATTCTGGAAGTTGAAGTCCACGAGTCATAAAAGAGCCAAGGTTGCCTAACCCTGGGCTAAACTGTCATATTTCCCTCCCTCTCTCTGGCTCTGCACCATCGGGGTCATTGAAAAGCCTTTGCTTCGTTTATCGTTCAGGATGTTTTGTGAATCCAGCTCGGTGGATGAGATCAATAGCTCGTTTTTACCCCCCCCCCAAAGCCTTTATCTTTGTTTCATGCAGGTCTGTTTGCATAAACCCGGTTGGGCTCCTCAACTGACAGCGGAACGTACCTGCTGGATTCCGCCAGCAGAAAAAAGGAGCAATTCAGACACTGGGTTTAACGTGTCGTGGGAATGCAGGCCAGGTCGGGCACCCGTGGCTCATGACACGAGATCAACCTACCTTCAGGACACCGGTCCCCTGGGAACAAGCAAAAGCCGAGCAGAAACGCGGGACCCTCCGCCGCTCACTCGCAACGCGCCGTATACGAGAGCATCTTTTTCCCCTTCGGGTCTCCAACCTTAGCGACTTTACGACTCGGGGACTTCAACTCCCAGAATTCCTCAGCCAGCTCAGTGACTTTTCCAAATCCCCGCCCCGGAAAAGGCCTTGAAAGCGGGGAGGGAGAGGCCCAGACTAGCGCATGCGCACTGACTAGTTTAGCCTGGCCCCCTCCCTTTTCTCCGATGACGTCATTAGAGCTCCGTGGGGGGCGGCAAATCAAAGGGGCCCGCCCGCGTTGATTCTCAGGGCTCTGGAATTCTGCGGCCGGAGCGGGGTTTTGCATGCTTGGCGGGGGGACGGGGGACTTTATATCTTTTGCAGCAGGAGTCTTCAAACGTGGCCCTTTTAAGACCTGTGGACTTCAACTCCCAGAATTCCTCAGCCAGGCATGCTGGCTGAGGAATTCTGGGAGTTGAAGTCCACAAGTCATGAAAGGGCCAAGTATGAAGACCCCTGTTTTACAGGGTGCGGTGAGGGGAGGTGGGCAGTTCTTCAATATAACAAATAAAACAAATCAAAAGTAGACGTGGCCCGATAACGTTTAAAGTTGCTTCGGCCATATGTGCAACGTTTTATTAGTGCTAATCATTGATTAGCGATTTATAACTTGGGTTATAAAACGCAGCCCAAGGGTAACCGTTGGGGGTTGGACAATTCCTCTGAAGGGGTCTCCAACCTTGGCTGTTTTAAGTCCACTACTTGTGGACTTCAACTCCCAGAATTCCTCAGCCAGTCGTGCTGGCTGAGGAATTCAGGGAGTTGAAGTCCGCAAGTCTTAGTAGCCAAGGCTGGAGACCCCCCTGCTCTAATAAAGCAGGCCTGGGCAACCATGGCACCTGCTGGCTGAGGAATTCTGGGAGTTGAAGTCCACAGGCGGTCAAATTTCCTTAGTTGCCCATCCCTGCTCTCAAGCGAGACCAGGGAGACATTTATTGTTTATTAAATATTTATGCTGCCCGTGGCTGGAGTTCAACCTATCACGCTTTGGACAGCCACCCAGGGGTAGGCCACCTTGGCTCTTTTATGACTCGTGGACTTCAACTCCCAGAATTCCTGAGCCAGCATGGCTCAGCTTGGAAACCTCTCCCTTTCCCCTCAGCATGGCTGGCTCAGGAATTCTGGGAGTTGAAGTCCACCAGTCATAAAAGAGCCAAGGTTGCCTACCCCTGGTCTAGGCCTCTAGGGCCTCCTGCTTGAGCAGGGGGTTGGACTAGAAGACCTCCAGAGTCCCTTCCTATTGTGTTATTCTGAGATGGAGAATGGAGGAGAGAAGGGTCTCCTGCTTGAGCAGGGGGTTGGACTAGAAGACCTCTAGGGACCCTTCCAACTCTATTCTAATGGATTGTTCTCCTTGTGCTGCTGCACCCACACGGCCGCTTCCTGGAAGGGGCGGCACCTAACGGAGGGGCGTGGCCAGTTTCCTCTCCCCCCCCCTCCAATCCGGCATGTGCAAACTCACTTCCTGTTACTGTACAGCCGTCCTTCCTAACTTCCTCCCAAAATGCCGTCACTGGGCAGAGGAGGGAGAGAGCAAGCAGCAGCCAATGATTTAACCGGAATGGCGTGACGTCATGGTGGATAGGGTGGGGTCCTAGGAGAACTTCAGAAAAGCTTACAAGGAAACGCAGAGGAGGTAGGAAAGTTTGGGGTTTCGTTCTGTGGGGTCCTGGGGGCTCTCTGAGCTGGGTGGTTTCCTTGCAGACGTTTCACGACCCACACTAGGTAACATCATCAGCGCTGCAGGGGAAGGGGTTTTTTGGAAAAGGAGGAGGAGGAGAAATGGGGGCTCCTGGGGGCTCTCTGAGCTTGGCTCTTTTCTTGCAGACGTTTCACTACCCAACTAGGGAACATCTTCAGTGCTAGCACGGTTTTTGTTCCATCTGGTTTCACCCGCCTGTTTCCTTAGGATGTGAGCTTTATTGCGATTCAGCCTTTTTATTTGATCCGAGTTTCCTTAATCCCAATTAGATAACCTTCATTGTCATTTTTTCCTGTGGGCACAATGGCACACATTAAAAAATGAAATTTGGTTGCTTGCTCTCAAAGTGTACACATACATAACACACATTTAAACATACTATATACAACGTATGTACAGACCTATACCCTTACATATAAGTAACATATAAATATTAATCACTGTCCAATTAGGTTTGCTACATCATGGGTATTTGTTGCTATTAATACAGGTGGTCCTCAACTTACAACGGTTCATTTAGTGACTGTTCAAAGTTACAAAGGCACTGAAGAAAGTAATCTGCACCAGGTAGAATAGCCTGGTGTCAGCTGGACTTGGGAGACTCCAGCCCTTTTTGTAGCTGCATGTTGCGTAGGTTTTTATTGCTTAGCAATGTCCTGATACAAAGCCCTCTGCCTTTGGCTAGGCTTAGAACTGAATATGTGCGCCTGTTTAGCCTGTTCTCAAGCATACAATCTTTTTTTCTTATCTTTTGGGTTACAGATGGAGGGGGACAAACTCATGGTACCCCCCAGTGGGGACCATGGGTCTCAGCGAAGTAGCGTCTCTTCCACTGGTCCTCGTGGTGAGTGAAAGGAAAATCCCTGCCCCCTCACCCCGCCACCAAAGGATCTGAGTTGAAAACAAAAATCTTCTTAAATGTATTTGTTTATTGTATGGGGCATCATACATGGACTAGCAATATATATTAACATTTCACTAAGATTAGTAAAACACCGTCAAATATGAATGTTAAAAAGATCTATATTCAAATACCAATGACTAGGCCATCTGACCACTGAAATACAGCACCGTTTATACCGTATTAAAAAAAAAACAGGTACAGGCAGTCCTCGACTTACAACAGTTCATTTAGTGACCGTTTGAAGTTAAGACGATGCTGAAAGAGTGACTTATGACCGTTTTTTACATTTACGAGCGTTGCAGCATCTCCACGGCCACGTGATCAAAATTTGGACGCTTGGCAACCGGCTCGCATTTACGACGGTTGCAATGTCCCGGGATCACGTGATCCCCTTTTGCGATCTTTTGACAAGCAAAGTCAATGGGAAAACCAGATTCACTTAACAACCGTGCTACCAATTTAACAACTGCAGTGATTCACTTAACAACTGCGGCAAGAAAGGTTGCAAAATGGGCCAAAATCAAACTTAACAAATGTCTTGCTTAGCAACAGAAATCTTGGGCTCCATTGTGGTTGTAAGTCGAGGACTGCCTGTATCAGACCGATATATGCCCTCAGCTTGCAGCCAGTCACGATGTGCTCTACAGATTGACGTGGGACCCCACTGAGGGGAGGACACTATGCCCCATTTATACAGAGAGTCCTGGCAGACGCCGCTGTGTGAGGTGCGAATCCTATTCAGGATTGTCCGTGTTCTTAAACATTTTTTAGTAACGGACTTTTGCTTTACGTTCTGTCCTTGCCCACCTGGGTGTTATACCAGACTTAACTACCACCTCTGTGAAAGATCTGCAATCGCATAATATGAGAAGCTTTATTAGTTCAAAGTTTGGTTCATTTTTTTGTGATGGGTGGATTTGTTTTTTGTTTAAGGAATTGTGCGAACCTGGAAAACTGAGTTAGTTCAGTCATCGGGTTGTGTGCTGGGGGAATACCACAACTGTATTTTATTTTATTTTTACTCTTCCTTTCTCTCCCCTTCAGCGCAGGATGTCCTGGTTTATCTTGTCGATGACACTGTGGTGCGCCTAACGATGGACAACCTGCCCTCCGTCACAGCTCACGAGTTGCATCGGATGGTGTTGGATGTGCTGAAGCTGCCCGAATCTGCTCTCGAGATCTTTTCCTTGTGGCTGGTCTCCCCTTTCCTTGGTAAGTCTCCGAAGGCTCAGACTTCCCACCCTTCCCAAAGAGGCCTGGAGCTGCACCCTGTAGTTGAGCCTCAGCAGCTTTACTGGCTGAGATGACAGGGATGTGAAGGGCAAGCAGTTGCCAGGAGGCCGCCAGACCAAAGCTGAATGAATAGAATAGAATAGAATAGAATAGAATAGGTGAATGAAATGGAATGGAATGGAATAGAAAATATGGAATAGAATAGAATAGAATAGAATAGAATAGAATAGAATAGAATAGAATAGAATAGAATAGAATAGAATAGGTGAATGAAATGGAATGGAATGGAATAGAAAATATGGAATAGAATGGAATGGAATGGAATAGAAAATATGGAATAGAATAGAATAGAATAGAATAGAATAGAATAGAATAGAATAGAATAGAATAGAATAGAATAGGTGAATGAAATGGAATGGAATGGAATAGAAAATATGGAATAGAATAGAATAGAATAGAATAGAATAGAATAGAATAGAATAGGTGAATGAAATGGAATGGAATAGAAAATATGGAATAGAATAGAATAGAATAGAATCAAGAAGAAGAATGGAATGGAATGGAATAGAATAGAAAATATGGAATAGAATAGAATAGAACAGAATAGAATAACAGAATTGGAAGGGACCTTGTAGGTCATCTAGTCCAACCCCCCTGCCCAAGCAGGAGACCCTACACCATTTCTGACCGATGGCACTCCAGTCTCTTCTTGAAAGCCTCCAGTGATGAAACTCCCACAACTTCTGAAGGCAACTTCTGTTCCATGGGTTGATTGTTCTCAATGTCAGGAAATTTCTCATTTCTAGGTTGAATCTCTCCTTGATCAGTTTCCATCCATTGTTCCTTATCTGGCTTTCAGGTCCTTTGGAAAATAGGTTGGCCCCCCTCTTCTCTGTGACAGCCCCTCAAATATTGGGAGACTGCCATCATGTCTCCCCTGGTCCTTTTCTTCACTAGACTAGCCATGCCCGGTTCCTGCAACCGTTCTTCGTATATTTCAGCCTCCAGTCCCCTCATCATCTTTGTTGCTCTTCTCTGGTTTGCCCTGTCCATAGAAGTCTTTGCTCTGTCTCAGACAATCCTCTTCCCTGCACCAGGTGCAAACCTTGAGGCAGTAAATGCAGCCTGCTAAACCTGGATTGTGGTAACCTTGCTTCGGTATTTTGCTGGCTCTGCAGGCTTGCAATTGTCCCCTTGGGATTTGTTCGGCTTTGCAAAAACAGTTTGAGACCCCATTGAAGCGTGTGTCGTGGCTGCATTATGCTTCGCATCACATCTTGCCAGCCTGACATTTGCAACGGGGGGGGGGGAGGAGTGGGGGAGGGAAGAGATTGGAATATGGGTGGTTAAGGGATGGTGGTTTCGGATTGAAGCCCTGACTGGGAGCCTCACCTATCCAATGCATGGTCAGCAAAAGGAATGTGGAGATGGGAAAGGCAGGAGCGCAGAGTCCATTTCCAAAATCACCTGAGAACTTTTAATTGGACATTGACCGATAATAAGGGTGTGGCCATGGAAAAGGGCATGTTAATTGCATCTTTTTGAAGCCGAGCCAACAGATTCTACTTGCTGTAATCTGTAAACGCTTTGTGCTCAGTAAAGTATACTCTTGGGGGGAAAAAATATGAGCCAGGAGTCTTTGCTCATTAAAACTCAGTAGGATGGGTGAAACGGAACATCAACTGGAGACGCAGCTGAAGCGTGCTCTTATAAGGGCCATCATCTGAATCCGCTCCTCTCTTTCTGTCTTGCAGAGGTTCAGCTGAAGCCCAAACACCAACCGTATAAGATCTGCCGGCAGTGGCAGGATCTGCTCTTCCGCTTCACCAGCTGCTCTGTGGATGAGATTGTTGAAGGTGCTGGCATCTCCGGGGGCATCTCCGTGACACGCGCAAACGTCCTTTCTCTAATCCTAAAGAAAAAAGCACTGTTCTTTTGCTGCAGTTCTGCACCTACCGTTCAACGTGGTGCAATGTGCTGGAGTAGCTGAAGTTGGGTAGTTCTAGCCTCTTGTGTGACCCCCCAACCTTCGGTTCAGGGAGAGTAAGGTTTATTGGTTTGAGTATCACATGAGTGCATTCCTTGACTTTTGTTAAGCCAGGTTAAGGGTCAAGCATGTTATTCACACGTGAATCCAGCTGCAGAATTTGAGTGTTACAGGAGCATTTGGCATTTACCTGCAGGTGTCTTCAAGGCAGAAATAACTTACATATATATATTACAGTGGTGGCGAACCTTTTAGAGAACGAGTGCCCAAACTGCAACCCCAAACCCACTTATGCATCGCCGGGTGCCAGGTGGGAGTGGCCACTGAGTGGGCGTGGCCACCGAGCTGTCAGCTCGTGCTCGCTTGCTCATTAGCTGTCCAACTTGTGCTCGCTCTCTCTCTGTCTGCAGCAAATGCTGCTTCTCCAGCATGAGGATGGATAATCCACAAGTGGTTGTCTTATTCTTCCTGCTCAATCAGACTAAGTGTGTAAAAAAAGTTGCCATGTCTCCTGCTGGGCTAGAGCACCCCAGTTTTGACTTAGTCTCTTGCTCAGTAGGACGCAGAATTTCGGCTCCTTTTATAGCCTCTCGCCTATTCCCAGACTATTTTTATTATATATATAATTGGCCACCTGTTTTACCCTAACTCTTACAGTTACGGCTTACAGTTACACCTAAGCTAAAACATAAAAAGTTAAACCTTAGAACTAAAGACACCTGGGGAAGGATGGGGGTGGAGTGGGGGACAGGTGGGATCTCTCAACGACCTCCATTGCGCTGTTCCCCTACTGGGGCCCTAAGCCGACTGGCAGAGCCAGGTTTTTAGGCCCTTAAGAAAAGATAGGAAGGTTGGGGCCAATATCACGTTGGGGGGGGGCAAGATGTTGCAGAGGGCAGGAGCCACAACAGAGAAGGCCCCCCTCCCAGACCCCGCCAGCCGGAATAATCGAACTGATGGGACCCGCAGGATGCCTCCTCTGCTGGCATGGGTGGGACGGGCCAATCCCAGTGAAGTGAGGGGGTCCCTCAAATAACCGGGACCCCTGCCACGGAGGGCTTTAAAGGGGGTCACTGACACCTTGAATTGCACCCGGAAACAGCCGGGCAACCAAGGCAGCTGGCGGAGCAGTGGTGTCACAGGGGCCATTCTTGGGGCCCCCAAAACTGCCCGCGTTGCTGCACTCTGCACCAGCTATAGCTTCCCAATGTTCTTCAAGGGTAGCCCCATGGAGAATGCATTACAGTAGTCCAGCCGTGAGATCACTAGGGACTGAACGATTGAGCGCAAGGAATCCTGGTCCAGGAAAGGCCGCAACTGGCGCACAACACTGATGCGCTTGCACCCTTTCTAAAAAGGAACAGAAAAACCCCCCTCATTTCGGTATCGGCTTATTCGATCTACAGAGTCTAGCTCAGGGGTAGTCAACCTTGGCTCTTTTATGACTCATGGACTTCAACTCCCAGAGTTCCTGAGTCAGCATAGCATAGCTGGCTAAGGAATTCTGGGAGTTGAAGTCCATGAGTCATAAAAGAGCTGAGGTTGCCTACCCCTGGTCTAGCTAGACCCATACCGGGCCTCAGCATGCCAGCAACCGGTCCACACAAACAAGCAAAGCCCCATCTGCGGGATGCAGGCAGCACACAAAACCACGCGCCCTCCCGGTCCACGGAAAAACCCCTCTCCACGGAACCAGTGATCCCTGGTGCCCAAAAGGTCGAGGACCTCTGAGCTAGATTGTCACACAAACTTCCGGTAGTGCCAAAGACTCTCAGCATTCCTGAAAACAGGGGCCCTGAAAACAGTTTATCTAAGCCTTCTAAAATGGTAGAGGTACTCCTTGACTTACAACCACAATTGAGCCCCAAATTTCCATTGCTAAACAAGTCGGTTGTTAAGTGAGTTTTGCCCCATTTCACGACCTCTCTTGGCACCGTTGTTAAGCGAACCCCTGCAGTTGTTAGTAAAAGGGTGGTTAAGTGACTCTGGCTTCCCCCACTGATTGGCTTGTCAGAAAGTCGCAAAAGAGGATCACATGATCCCAGGACACTGCAACGGTCGTAAGTATGAGTCAGTTGCCAAGCCTCTGAGCTTTGATCACATGACCCTGGTGGGGATGCTGCAAAGGTTGCAAGTGCGAAAAACAGTCATAAGTCATAACTTCAAACAGTCACTAAATGAATGGTTGTAGGTTGAGGACTACCTCTGTGCTGTGTGGTTTATGTTGCTGGAGGTTTGTGGAACTTATTTACAGGTAGTCTTCAACTTACGACCACAAGTGAGCCCAAAATTTCTGTTGTTAAGCGAGACGTTTGTTAAGTGAATTTTGCCCCATTTTACAACCTTTTTTGCCACGGTTGTTAAGGGAATCACTGAAGTTAGTGACACGGTTGTTAAGTGAATCTGGCTTACCGGTTGACTTTGCTTGTCAGAAAGTGGCAAAAGGGGAATCACGTGACCCCCGGGACACTGCGACGGTCATAAATACGAATCAGCTGCCAGGCTAAATCTAAATTTTGATCACGTGGCTGTGGGGATGCTGCCAAGGTCCTAAGTGTGAGAAATGGTCATAACTCGCCATTTTCAGTGCCTTTGCAACTTCAAACGAACTGCTGTAAGTCAAGGACCACCTGTATTCTTCTACGGTGATTTGTACATTGCCAAAGTACATAAAAATAAATAGTCCAGTTCTAGGACTAAAGCGTAGGTCTCCATTTGGGGCGTTTTGTTACCCGTAAGTGTGTGTGTGTGTGCGTGTGTGTGTGTGTCGGCCAGGCCTTTCTTGAATTCTTCCCAAGAGAGCCAGGATTTTAAATCCTTCTTTTGACTTTCCCGCAGATGAACCGTCGCTTCAATTCCGTAGAAACATCTTTCATCTGAGAAGGAAAGAGCTGCAGGTGAGTTCAAGGAGAGTCCGGCTCATCCTTGCAAAACCCACGGACGGACGGGCCCAGGGCAGGATGTGGCCCTCCAAGCCTTATTGCATACCCCCCCTCCCTCCCTCCGTTGAGTAGTTGCCAGTTGGAGCTGCAGCAAAAAGTTTTCAACGCTTCATTTCAGGAACCCAAATAGCGTTTCATCCTTGCTGAAGATGGCTTCATTTTCTTTGCTCTTAGAAGTCTTTTTTTTTTCTTTAAACCTCAGAGGTGTGGGGATTTCGGTTATCCCCCCCCCCAAAATGGGATTTTTCTACCCAAATCATTATCTTCTCTTGTTTGTTTTGGGGGGAGGTATGTGTGACAGGGTATAGAAAACTCAGGGATTGGCAGGGCTAAATTATTTTGGAGTCGCTTGCTGTCTTTTTGTCATTATAGAATCGCAAAAACCTTCATTTCATCTTCAGGATATGATGAGATGCAGAAAAGGGATTCATTGATACATTAAGCCGTGATATGTAGTTCCCTTGGGATTGAAAGCAATTCAATCCCGCCTTTACAAAATGCCCAAGTGATTTCCTTGACAATAGCATGGAAATGGATATTGTTGTTGTTTTTTAACTTCTCAGTCCTGCCCTGGAGTCCCCTCCAAGTACACTTAGTCCTCGACTTACGACCACAATCGAGCCCCAGATTTCTGTTATGTGAGTTTTGCCCCATTTTACCACTTTGCTTGCCTCGGTTGTTAAGCGAAGCACTGCAGTTGATAGTCACCCCAGTGAATCTGGCTTCCCCCCGGACTTCGCTTGTCAGAAGGTCGCAAAAGGAAACCACGTGACCGTGGGACACAGCGACCGTCGTAAATAGGAACCAGTTGCCAAGGCTCTGGATTTTGATCACGTGACCCTGGGGGGGTGCTGCAACGGTCGTTAAGTGTGAAAAATGGTCGCAAGTCCCTTTTATCAGTGCCGTTGTAACTTTGAACAGCCACTGAACGAACGGATGTAAGTCGAGGACTCTCTGCGTGTACCAGGCTTGATGTTGTGGGATTCTGTCTCGATTTTTCTCCAGATTCAGGATGAAGACGTCCTGCGGCTCTTGTACGAAGAGGCCAAGTACAACATTCTGGGAGGACGGTATCCGTGTGAGCTCACCGATTGTGATGCGCTGGGAGCCCTGGTGTGCCGGATCAACTTGGGCCCCTACAGTCCGGAGCAGCACACGGCTTCCTTCCTGAAGTAGGTGGCACCCAAACAACAATTCAGGTCCTATTGCAACATGCAACAAGAAGTCAAGCTTGACTTGTGGTGTGAATCACAAGTGGCTGGGTCCCATGAACATGTTAAGCCATAAACCATAATTTATAAAACACAATGGGTAGGGTGATATCAATTAAGCCCTCGTGTTTTCTATTTATCATTTCTGCATTTAAAAATCCCTGTGCTTGTAGTTCCAGTAGAAGGGATGGGTGTGATTGGAGTTAGATAACCGCAGGTGTAGCGCACTATATTAGAAAGCTGTCCTAGATTACGGGTCGGCAACCCACAGCTTAGAAGCCGCATGTGGCTCTTTGAGCCTTCTCCTGCGGCTCCCAGTCCTCCTCCGCCATTTGCAGAGAGAGAGACAGAGAGGGGCACTTGCGCTTCCCTTCTCTCTCTCTCTCTCTCTCTCTCTCTCTCTCTCTCTCTCTCTTTCTCTCTCTCTGTGTGTGTGTGTAAATAAAAAAGAGAGTGGCCTCACACTGTTCTCCAAGCTGACAAGCTTATTGGGCGGGGCTCCTCCTTTGCTGTGTCTCTGCAGGAAGCAGCAGCTCTCTCTCTCTCTCTCTCTCTCTCTCTCACACACACACAGTGGGGGGAGAGGACTGGCAGACCAAGGGCAGGAGAGAGCCAGCCCAATAAGAATGTGTGTCAGCTTGTCGGAGAACAGTGTCAGGCCAGCTGGCCAGGTGAGCAGAAGATTAGAGAGAGGAGGAGAGGGAGAGAGAGAGAGAGAGAGAGAGAGAGAGAGAGAGAGAGAGAGAGAGAGAACTCATGCACAACAGCCTCTATTTCTTTTTAATTAAACTCTTCAATCATGCATGTGCGAGTTTGCAGCTCCCAGTGTTTTCTGTGGGAAACGGGTCCAAGTGGCTCTTTGAGTGTTTAAGGTTGCCGACCCCTGTCCTAGATAAAACAGAAACGGATTACAAGTAATAACAATTGCATGGCTAAATTTCTCTTAATTTTTTCCCCCTTCCTAGAGAGAAGCTGGATTCCTTCTTGCCTTCCCACGTTTGCCACAGAGGCCACAAGCGCTTTGCCAGCCTTTGGAAACGGGCTGGCTCCCGCTTGCCCACCAACGAGCAGGGTCTCCTGCGGGCCTTTCGTGAGGTCCCGGAGGCAGGGGCTTGTGAAGAGCACGCCACGCTGCTCAGGCTGTACCACGCCTACCTGCAAAAGTGCCACGAGCTTCCTTATTATGGGTAGGTTTGGTGGCCATGCAGCCACAAAGCACAGGAGAACTCTGCCAAGGCTTCATTAGATCACGAATCCCTCCTTTTTCTACCCGGCCATTGCAGCCAGTCAGGATTGTGTGGAGTGTGTTGACAAATCTCAGCAGTGAGTTCTGCCACGGAGAGTCTTGCATTTTCAGTTGCTGTTTCTCTCCAGCTTGTGATTGGTTTTAGGGGGTCCAGGTTCCCACAGAGCAGTGGGATTTTTTTTATTCCCATTGTTGTTAGTTGCGAAATCGGGTCCAACCCATCGTGACCCCATGGACAATGTTCCTCCAGGCCTTCCTGTCCTCTACCATCTTCTGGAGTCCATTGGAGCTCACGCCTGCTGCTTCAGTGACTCCATCCAGCCACCTCATCCTCTGTCGTCCCCTTCTTCTCTTGCCCTCCATCTTTCCCAGCATCAGGCTCTTCTCCAGTGAGTCCTTCCTTCTCATGAGGTGGCCAAAGTACTTGAGTTTCCACTTCAGGATCTGGCCTTCCAAAGAGCAGTCAGGGTTGATCTCCTCTAGGATTGACCGGTTTGATCGTCTCGCAGTCCAGGGGACTTGCAGGAGTCTTCTCCAGCACCATAATTCAAAGGCCTCCATTCTTTGGCGCTCAGCCTTTCTTATGGTCCAACTTTCCCAGCCATACATTGCAACTGGGAAAACCATGGCCTTGACTATACGCACTTTTGTTGGCAGGGTGACGTCTCTGCTTTTGAGTATGCTGTCTAGATTTGCCATAGCTTTCTTCCCCAGGAGCAAGCGTCTTTTAATTTCTTGGCTGCAGTCCCCCTCTGCGGTGATCTTAGAGCCCATAATTTATAATTTATTCCCATAATTGCAACTAACTGGCTGAGAAATGGGAATGTCCCAAGCAAGTGATGACATCCGCAGCCTTGGAGAGGGGAGAGGTATGAGAACAACAAAAAGCAGAATAGAACAGGTAATGTCCTTATATTTCAGCAGTTTTCCAATACAGGTAGTCCTCGACTTACAACAGTTCATTTAGTGGCCATTCAAAGTTACAACATCACTGAAAAAAGTGACTTATGACCGTTTTTCACATTTGCAGCCGTTGCGCCATCCCCGTGGCAACGGGATCAAAATTCAGATGCTTGGCAACTGACTCGTATTTATGACACGTGCAATGTCCCGGGATCATGTGATCCCCTTTTTGCAACCTCCTGCCAGACAAACTCAACAAGGAAGCCAGTTTCACTGAACAAGCGTGTGACTAACTTAATCACTGTAGTGATTCACTTAACAACTGGGACAAGAAAGGTCATAAAATGGGGCCAAATTCACTTAACAAATGTCTCGCTTAGCAAGATAAATTTGGGGCTCAGTTGTGGTCATAAGTTGAGGACTACCTGTACATGACAGCTGCCAGACAGCTTGGAATACGAGACCCAGCATTCCAGGCCAGGGTGACTGAGCATTCTGCAGAGTGTGTCCCTATCCCGGTGAACTGAACTGAACATGGGCTTAGCAGAGCCCATCTAGCATCAACTCGGTTAATAGGCGGGCAGGGGTACTTTCCATCTCTTAAAGTGCACCAGCCCTAGGAATTGAGACTTTGGAAAAAGTACAGAGAAGAGCAACTAAGATGCTTAAAGGCTTGGAGGCTAAACCATTGGAAGAACGGTTGCAGGAATTGGGAATGGCCAGTCAAGAAAGACTAAGGAGGACATCATGAGAGCAGTCTTCCAGTATTTGAGAGGCTGCCACAAAGAAGAGGGGGGTCTAACCTATTTTCCAAAGCACCAGAAGGCAGGACAGGAAATAAGGGATGGAAACTAATCAAGGAGAGAAGCAACCTGGAATTAAGGAGAAACTTTCCTAACAGTGAGAACAATTAACCAGTGGAACTGCTTGCCACCAGAAGTTGTGGCTGCTCCATCACTGGAGGCTTTTAAGAAGAGACTTGGCAGCCATTTGTCTGGAATGGTATAGGGTCTCCTGCTTGAGCAGGGGGTTGGACTAGAAGACCTCCAGGGTCCCTTCCAGTTCTATTCTGGTTGGTTGAGTTCAGGTGTTGTATACACCCCAGCTCTCTCTGTCTGCCTCCTGTCTCTGCAGCTGTGCCTTCTTCTTTGGGGAAATAGACAAGCCGGTTCAGGGATTGCTGCATCGGAGTGGACGCAAAGCCGTGATAGTGGCCATCAGCCTGGAGGGCGTCTATATCATTGACAGCAAGGAGAAGGTAAACCTGAGACGGGGGGTGGTGGTGGTGGGATTCTTCACCCTTTTATGGATTCGACTTACAAGTTCGGCTTATAAGTTAGAAGAGCCGTGGTGGCGCAGTGGTTAGAATGCAGTGCTGCAGGCTAATTCTGCTGACTCCCACTGGCTCAAGGTTGACTCAGCCTTCCGTCCTTCCGAGGCCGGTAAAATGAGGACCTAGATTGTTGGGGGCAAAAGGTTGACTCTAAAACCGCTTAGAGAGTGCTGTAAAGCACAATGAAGTGGTATATAAGTCTAAGGGCCGTTGCTATTGGCCAACAGAGGACCCTACATAGGGACTGGGGGAAGTTGTGATCCAGCAACCCTGTTGCATGTCTATCTCTAGAGCAGTGATGGCGAACCTTTTAGAGACCGAGTGCCCAAACTGCAACCCAAAACCCACTTATGTATCGCCGGGTGCCAGGTGGGTGTGGCCCACTGGGTGGGCGTGGCTGTGGTGCTCATGGCAGACTGGGTGGGTGTGGCCAAGGTAGACGTGGTCACCTTGATGTTGCTCATGGGGAGGGATGCCTGTGGGGGCCGGGCAGGGTTGGGGGAGATCCAGGGGGTCTCTGGCAGGTGGGGTGGTGGGCAGGAGGCTCGTCCTGCGGGGTGAGGCAAGGCAAGGCAGGGCGGGGGAGCCATTGTCGCAGAGCAAGGCGAGGCAGACGCCGGGGCGGCTGCTGCCTGACACCATTGGCCCCCCACACAGAGGCCAGCAAGCGCATGGGTGCTGGGATGCATCCGGCCATGTGGGACCTAGGCGAGTTAGCAGGTGGCTGGTTGAAGAGGGATGGTTGCCATCTCCGGGGCATGGTGCGCATGCCCACAGAGAGGGCTCTGAGTGCCGCCTCTGGCACACATGCCATAGGTTCGCCACCACTGCTCTAGAGCAATTTGTTTTGTTTGTCTATTTGTTGAAGGTTGTGCATTTTGAGCAGAGCCCTGGTGATGCTGAAAGTACAGGTAGTCCTCGACTTACAACAGTTCATTTAGTGACCGTTTGAAATTACGACGATACTGAAAAAAGTGACTTGCAACCATTTTTTTCACACTTAACGACCGTTGCAGCATCCCCATGGTCATGTGATCAGAATTCAAAAGCTTGACAACTGGCTGGTGTTTATGACGGTGGCAGTGTCCCCGGGGGGGTGTCACGTGATCCCCCCTTTGCCACTTTTTGACAAGCAAAGTCGGGGGGGAAGCCGGATCCATTTAACACACCGTGTGACTTAATCTAACCACTGCAGTGATTCACTCAACAACCCTGGCAGGAAAGGTCGTAAAACAGGACAGAAACCCACTTAAGCAATGTCTCAGTTAACCACAGAAATTTGGGGCTCAATTGTGGTCATAAGCCAGACATGTCAAACACAAGGCCCGGGGGGCGGAGGTGGCCCGCGAAGTGGTTTCATGTGGCCCGCGAAGCCATCCTGGAAACAATGAGGGAACGGCCCCCGCTGCCTTGGCCCTGGCCCAGGCCGGCCGGGAGCCAAGGTACAATTTTGTGGTGGCCATCTATGCTGAAACACATTCGGTCTTAGCTCCACAAGGCCGTCTGGAAACAGCGAGGAACCGGCCCCTGCCGCATTGGTCCCGTCCCCTGGGTGCATGCTGGGGAGGTGTCACCCTTTGTGAGGAATGAAGAAATGGACCATGCCTTGGCGGTCCCACCCCCTTCTGCCAGAGACCCTCAGATCTGTCCCATTCCTGCCCAGGCCCCCACAGGCACCCTTGACGGGAACCATGTAGAGCTGGCCACGCCCACCCAATAGGCCACACCCACTCCATCCACACCCACCCAGTAGGCCGTACCCACCCTGGTCACACACATCCTGAGGGCAACCGCAATGCTGATGCGGCCCTCAATGAAATTGAGTTTGACACCCCTGTCGTAAGCCGAGGACTACCCGTAACGGTTTTCTTTCAAATTCTGAGGGTTCTAAAGGGCCGGATCCTGGGTGGGACAAAGTTGATTAAAGGCCCTTCCATTATTTCGCCTCCTGAATAAAACTTCCTTCCTTCCCTGCAGTATGTTCTGCTGGGCCTGCGCTTCCAGGAACTGTCATGGGATCACACGTTTCCCAGCGAGGAGGAACATATTCTCTGGCTGGAATTTGATGGGGAAAACGAAGGCCAGCAAGTCAACAAACTGCTCAAGATTTACTCTAAGCAAGTATGTACACGCTGGGAGAGATGTTAAACCTTAAGGGGCTTTATGTGTGTGTGTGGGCCACGTAACAAGTTAGATTACAATTAACCTATTTTCTGGTTTGTCAAATACAGGTAGTCCTTGACTTAAACATTTAGTGACCGTTGAAAGTTACCACCACACTGAAAAATGTGACCTAGGACCATTTTTCACACTTAACGACCGTTGCAGCAGCCCCATGGTCACGTGATCCAAATTCACATGCTTGGCAACTGGCTCATACTTATGACCGTTGCTGTGTCCCAGGGTCACGTGATCACCTTTGGTGACTTTCTGACAAGCAAAGTCAGTGGGGAAGCCAGAGGTACTTAATAACCAGGTTACTGACTCATTAGCTGCAGTCTTTCACCTAACTGCTGTGGCAAGAAAGGTCATAAAGTGGGGCAAAACACTTCACAACAGAAATGTTGGGCTCAGTTGTGGTCGTAAGTTGAGGACTACCTGAACGTTGAAATGTGAACTATCCAAGCAGGGTAGGTTTGCGCAGTCTGCTAAAAATAATTACGTTTATCTTTTATATGATATAATTGCAGCAACTGTGCCGTTTACTTATTATTTACTGTTTTACACTGAGAGCTTATGCACCGGAGACAAATTCCCTGTGTTTCCAATCACATTTGGTCAATAAACAATTCTGTTGTCTATTCTCTATTCTCTTCTAATTATTCTATTCTATTCTATTCCATTCCATTCCATTCCATTCTATTCTAATTATTCTATTCTATTCTATTCCATTCCATTCTATATCCTATTGCTTATTCTATTCTGTTCTATTCTATTCTATTCTATTCTATTCTATTCTATATCCTATTGCTTTCTATTCTATTCTATTCTATTCTATTCTATTCTATTCTATTCTATTCTATTCTATTCTATTCTATTCTATTCTATTCCATTCCATTCCATTCCATTCCATTCCATTCTATATCCTATTGCTTATTCTATTCTATTCTATTCCATTCCATTCCATTCCATTCCATTCCATTCTATATCCTATTGCTTATTCTATTCTATTCCATTCCATTCCATTCTATTCTAATTATTCTATTCTATTCTAATTATTTTATTCCATTCCATTCCATTCCACATTTTGCTTCCCCGGTTAGACATTCCATGCAGATCGTGTGACATGTTTTCGGTTACCTAATGGTGAGAACTGGATGAGGACTGCATTTGGAGAATGCAGACATCCTGCTTGCTCTTTCCAAGAAGGGCCGTGAGCTTTTGCACAGGAGAACTCTGGCTAAGGCTTCATTAGATCACGAATTCCTCCTTTTTTTTTCTACCCAGCCATTGCAGCCACTCAGGATTGTGAAGTGTGTTTTGTGTGGGCAAATCTCAGCAGTGAGTTCCGTAATGGAGAGTCTTGCATATTCAGTTGCTCTTTCTCTCCAGCTTCTGGTTGGTTTTAGGGGGTCCAAGTCCTAAGTAGATAAAACAGAACAGTGGGAGGTTTTTTTTATTCCCATAATGCAACTAACTGGGAAAAAAGTACTGCTAATGCAGTGTGTCATCTAGCATCCTAGGCTGAATCAGTCCCTTTTTAACTTGCCTGGAAGGTGCCGTTTCAAAAAAGGCGATGCTGTATTAAATGGACCTGCATCTCTCTTCACAGGCCGAACTGATGAGTAGTCTAATTGAATATTGTATTGAGCTGAACGGGTCTGCCAGGGGGCTGGATTCAGAGCCCGCCACGGCTGCAGTCCCCACATCTGATCAGCAGCCTCCCAGCATTCAGCGACAGGGCAGTGTGCTCTGCAGCCGGATCCAGCGTTTAGCCACCATCGACTATGTTGAGGAAGGTAAGCTGGTGAAAAGAGAGAGAGAGAGAGTTTGGAGCAGACATTGCCAGTGCAAATACTTATAACATTTGCATCTGAGCAGGTTTCCTTTCTAAGAAACACGATACTCAGTTGCATCTCTCCTTAGCCTCATCCAACAGCATTCTTCTTAGGAAAATGCATTAATCATTTAGGTCAGCTCACTAGAACTTTCTTTGCTTAGGACATATTTAGTTACTAAATATGGGCGATACGAAGCATAGAGAATTGCTCTTTTCCTTTTCCTGTTGGTGAGAAATGGGGCTGAACTAAATGACTCTTTGAATTTGGACCAGCTGGTCTCTTCTTTGGATGAAATTAACTGTAGGTAGTAGCCGCTGAGCTACCTACTCGTTCGTATCTAGTCTGGTGACTGGGATAAGAAGATTGATGTGCTGAAAAGCAAAATCCTAGTTTTAAGCATAGTCAGTATTGCCTGCATTGTCTAGGGAAGCTGAAGGTGTTTGTGGAAAATAACAATGAAATGTTCAAGGCTTTGTTGAAAGTTCCACAGGGCCATCCATAAAAACACAATAAAAGTGAGGTATGGTGTTAGAAAGCTGAAAGACACAGAGGGAACATAGCTTGATGTGATAAATGGGCCATATCCACCATATCAGTTATTCAACATTATAAAAGGGGGGGAAAACTAATGAGGCCTTCCAGAAATATGTTAAAAGTCATTGTTTAAAAATATGCAATAATTATGTTAGTAAGGCTTACACGTAGGGCTATAAAGTTGTAAAGATTCATAATCAGTATGGGTGTCCAAGAGAATGAGGTTGGAAGAAATTGATTAGCAATTTCTTTGTCCCTAGAATTTAAAAAAAAAAAATGAAAACCAAATTTGTAACAGGCTGTCGAAAATCCCAGTGTGCTCACAGGGACTAAATGTTTTATTTGGAGATTGCATGACTCCGGGCCAATGTGATTTGTAAATTATAGTTCCTGGCTTTGTGCACCAACCGAAACGTGTTCAACAAACCCTGGTTAGGCTGTGATGTGTGAACCCAGACGCTGATCGTTGTTGAGTTGATATAGCTCTAATTATCTGTGTGCACGCTTCTCTCCTTTCTCCAGGGAAAGAGATCAAGAGGGTGAAACCTCGACGCACCACATCCTTCTTCGGCCGCCAGCTGTCAAACGCCCCTACCTCCTACTCAGCAGTACGGGCAGCTGAGAACTTGGAACAGGGCTGATCCCCGTTTTGTTCCGGGGGGTAGAAATGGGACCAGGCCACTTTGGGGCAAGGTGACTCAAAGGCCAGCATCCTTGACTCTGCCTTTACTTGCCGTCTACCTCTATCTCCAACCCCTCCTGTGTATATTTCCTTACAGTGTCAGACTTCATTCCTGTGCTCAGTCTTATACAGGTTGGGGCTGTCAGAATGTACCAAGCCACCGTATACCCCAGATGTTGAGTTTGTTTCGGCATGCAGCAGAACTGTTGTAAGAGATCCGTTCTCCCTGCCACAATAGTGCCATGGTTACAGTTTTCCCAGACTCATTTGACCGTGAGTCGTAATCCTCAACTGCTGATTTCTCCCTGCTTCTGCATGATTTTCAGGAAAAAAAGGAATCTCCCACAATCCCCATCTTGTCTGTGAATTACAGTGTTTATAGCTCAAACCTTTGGAAGAGGGAAGGAAGGCACCCAAGTTGTTCTGTGGGGCAGAATGAGCAAATTACAGTTTTTCTTTTTTGCAAATGTATTGTGTATTTGAAAAGGGGAGAGTCTTTTCATTCCTCTTTCCTCTGCATCTTGAGAGTTGTGTGCTGGTTTTTTTTGGCTCTTTCCTCCAAGTGGATGCTTGCTCCTCTTTGTCCAGTGCCAACAGAAATGCATCTGGCTGGTTTCTATGCCCTTTGAATTTCCATTTGGAAAAAAAAAGTGTTTTTTTTTTCCTGTTTAAAACAAACACTGCAATGTGTCTTTTCCTGGCATCCATGTTTGGATTGTGTTTGTCCATCTATTGACTTTTTATCTAGGGGGTTGTTGCAATAAAGACAAGAATTAAAAAAAGGCACCTGCACTATATTCCTTTGAATTTATTTGTTTCCTACCTGCTTGCACTTTTATGCCTACCCTAATTAAATTCATATGTTTGGCTAAGCCAAAACTAACTGTGGCTAGAAACCCAGCTGCTCAGATTAACAAAAATGTGTTTTAAGGCTGACTGTGCGATGTGACCTTCCATTGCATTCACAGGAACTGGATAGGTCTATATATTAATAAAATAGGATAGCTGTGTTGTTACAGGGAGGGGGAGGGAATCACCACCCGGCCAATGTGCATGTGTGTAATACCTCCACCCCACACCAAAATTAGGATGATAAACAATGAGCAAAATTTCTACAAGCAACCACAGCGTGCCTCCAGACGTTGTGGGTGCTCCAACACTGGAGGATTTTAAGAAGAGGCTGGACAGTCACCTGCCTGGAATGGTTTAGGGCAGGGATAGGCAACCTTGGCTCTTTTATGACTCAGGAATTCTGGGAGTTGAAGTCCATGAGTCATAAAAGAGCCAAGGTTGCCTTACCCCTGGTTTAGGGTTGGACTAGAAGACCTCCAAGGTCTCTTCCAGCTCTATTCTGATTAATCTTTTGTGCGGGGACTTTAGCTCTAGCCTACTTTTGCTGCAACCAGCAACCCTTAGTAAAAGTACCTATCACTTCAACCAAAAGGAGTCAAGGGTCTTTCTTTCTGAGGGACCCAGCTGCAGCAGGTCTGACACCTATTTTGAAAAGGATGTGAATCATGGTACTAAGGGGCAGCTGTGATTGACATTATTGGGCATGCTACTGGTGAAGTTGAACTGTTTACAAATACGATCATGAGGATCCTCATTGCTGTTCCCCACCTGGTCCACCAGAGGGGGGCAGCTGCTGCTACAAATTTCTAGACCTGGCCCTCTTGTAAAATTCCACAAACCTCTGGAGTTTGCCGTTCTGAAAGGTGCCAAGCGTTCACACATTAAGGAGCCTCTGCCTTCCGTTTAAATGCTTAAGACCGGTTTGAAAAAGACTAGTATTGCTTTAGGAAATCTGCTTATAACCTGCGGACTTAATGAAAGCAAGAGTTAAAGATAATTAAGTGGAGGGTGGAGGTTTGTTCTCCGAGCTTGTGGGTTGGTTTCTGAACGTTTCATTACCAGGCTAGGTAACATCTTCACCTACTGACTACACAGATTCCTATAAGCAAAAGAACACTGAAACTGACACCCCCTAAACTCCGCTGAAGATGTTACCTGGCCTGGTAATGAAACGTTCAGAAACCAACCCACAAGCTCGGAGAACGAACCTCCACCCTCATCTTACACCCAAACTACAGATAGTCGCCACCATTGCAAATAATTAAGTCTCCAAATGCAGCTAGATTTTGTGCATGTGCCCAGATTTCTTGTCAAAACCATAGAAGAAGTATGCTCCAGCTGCTTTCCATGATGGTAGGATAGGTTCTCCTGCTTGAGTGGGGGGCTGGACTAGAAGACCTCCAAGGTCCCTTCCAGATTCTATTCTATTCTATTCTATTCTATCCTGTAATTCTATTCCTATTCTATTCTAATTATTTTTTCTAACTTCCTAAGCTGTCCCCCCCAGCTGGGATTTCCTCATGGTCCCCCATCCAGGTGCTAACCAGGTCTAACCCTATTCAGTTTTTCAAGATCAGCTGCATAGTACCTTTGCCATGACTGGGGGTAAGTCACAAGCATAGTTAAAGCCGCTCAGGGAAAACCTGCATAAAAAGTAATAAAGTCTTCTTTCAATCAAGCTCCAAGTCCTGTTTATTACGTGGCGTTTCCTGGCATTAGTATGTGATTTGCTACTGCATTTTTTTCAGGTTTTTCCAGTTCCCCGTCTAGCCACAGCCTTTGAATTTCCTGCTGATTTCTCATCCAGGTAGTAGTAAGGCCTGACCAAATTCTAGTGGACTCAACTAGGTCCCTGGAGTAAGTAAAGTGATACTAGAACACCTTTTTAAAAAATGAATAATGTAATAGAGCTTTTATCCAGACTTCAATGTATAGGAAAGGCATTATTAATACAGCTGCCCATTCTAGTAGATTGGACAATAAGGGGAAGTTTAATCCTTTCCTCTCAACTTGCTACATTCTGATTTTTTTGTTTTTTTTAAAAATGTTTTCTGTCATTTTTTTTAAAAAAGAGGGTTGTGTAGTGCCTCATTTGGCTCCAACAAACTACCTTGTTTAGGACAGCCAGGTTCCTGATTTTGGGACAATAACCAGGAGAAGGTGAGTATTTCTATCTTTTTGTAATTTACTACTATAAGGCCGGTTTGAAGGGGAACAGCTGGTTCACCAAAAGGCATAATTACAATTTTTTGTCACAGAACCATTGCATTAAATTCACAAAGCTCCAAGCTGTTTACCGCAGGCTCTTCTATAGCCGGCATTTATTTTTGTTTGCACCTTGGAGATAAAAATTCTACAAGCAGTTGAGGAGGTGATAGTAGTCTTCCAGTATTTGAGGGGCTGCCACGAGGAGGAGGGAGTCAACCTAATGGTATAGGGCTTCCCTGCTTGAGTAAGGGGTTGGATTAGAAGATCTCCAAGGTCCCTTCCAGCGCTATTCTGACTGAGATGGAGAATGTTCCTGAAGTGCTTGTACAGCAGTTTGCAAGACTCAGGGACTCAAGGGAGGGATACAAACATGACAAAATTGTGTTCTTCCTGCTGTTCTTCCTCTCCATGATGGAGCGCGAAGCCCGGCTGCAGTCAGTAGCTCGGGTATGGTTTGAGGGATGACCTTTACAGTCATCGCTTCTGCAGATCACCTCGTGGTGACTCACCAGAGGATGCAGGGCACGAGGCAGCATTCCTGATCTCTGCTAAGGGTGAGGTGCACCATAATTCACCTCCCAGTTTGCATGTCTCTCAATCTGCAGATTATAAAGATGATTGGGATGTGACAGAGAGCTGGAGTGTGTTGGAGACGGCTGCCCAAACATTTGCCCGTAGTTAACTGAAGAGGATTTCCCCTTCAAACCAAGTTACTGGTTCCCCTTGACAGGATAGGTTTGCTCATCTTTAGGGGCAACCTTGGCTCTTTCATGACTCTTGGACTTCAACTCCCAGAATTCCTGAGCCAGCCATGCTGAGGGGAAAGGGAGAGATTTCCACCGCTGAGCTATGCTGGCTCAGGAATTCTGAGAATTGAAGTCCACGAGTCATAAAAGAGCCAAGGTTGCCTACCCCTAGGTTAGTCCCAGAACACACACCTGAATTCACAGCCCATGCTAATCCTCCCCAGTTTTAACCAGGATTAGGTTGAGTATATGATTTAGCAAAGGTGCACCAGCTCAGCCCAGTTTATATTGGGCAAAGCCAGAAAATTATGTAACACAGGAACCAAGTTGGATGTGTTATAGGAACTTAACCTATGAATCAGAAATGAATATTGTACAATATTGTTGGGGGGGGGGACTTGTGTAGCTCATTTGCCAGAGGTACTTTCTACACGTAACAAATCAGATTGGATGGCATGATCCAACTCTGTTTCTATGGTTCTCTTTAAAATGAGATTGAATCATTTTTGGTTCAGTATATTGTAGAAACTAGTTCCCAGTACAGGTAGACCAAGATTGAGCCCAAAATTTATGTTGCTAAGTGAGAAATTTGTTAGGTTTTGCCTCATTGTACAATGTTTCTTGCCACATTTGTTAAGTGAATAACTGCTGTTGTTAAATTACTGACATGGTTGTTAAGTGAATCTGGCTTCCCCATTGACTTTACCTGTCAGAGGGTCGCAAAAGGGGATCCTGTGACCCTGGAGCACTGCAACCGTCATAAATGTCATTCAGTTGTCAACTTTGATAATCAACTACTAACTATAAAATTGGATATGATCGAGTGTTTTATTCAGCAGACAGGAGCCAGGCATCAAAAACAGAGGATGGGAGGTCTTTTACTGACCCAAATGACATTACAAGCAATAATGGGAGATCTATTTGCTGAAACAGAGGCCTTGTTATGGAAACCTGCTTGGCATAAAAAGAAAGCCAGAATAAGACTAAAAAGAGAAATTTAAAATTGTATGTAATGGATTAAAAAGGTTTTGAGAAATACGGATTGAATTAAGGATTAAGATTTAGAGTTGAAAATCTGTGATTATTAGAACATATATGTTCAACAGAGTAAGAATGTATGTTTTGAAATTCCATGTTTATTTGTATGAAAATTATTTTGTAATGGAATGAGAACAAGAATATTAAAGAGGTTTTTAGAGATTCAGATTGATTTAACAATTAATTGTGTTAAGTTAGTAAGACGATGTTTTGTGTAATAATAGGTGTGTTCTTTTTTTTTTTAGACATAACTATTTGGATGAGATTTAAATGCTATCTGAAGAAATAAGAGAGATTTGTGATAAAATCAATTATTTATGAGATTAAGAATTAGAATATATCTGGATTTGTATTTTAGAAGGGATACCCGAAGTGATAATATGTTTATCTACGTCTAAGATTAAATTGGACTATGGTAACTGTAAATTAATAAAGTTCAAAAACACTAGAATTTATAAAAATGTAATGTAGAAATGGATTATGTTAAATAGGTTATATTATTTGAGGGAAATAGAAAGGGAACATTTAATGTATTTACTCGAGGTATTATATGATTTTGTTTCTGGATGATTGATCACCCAGCCACCACAGTGTATCTCAAGCATTCTGTTGTAAAAGTTAAAAAACCAATAAAATTTGTTATAAAAAAAAATAAATAAATGTCAGTCAGTTGTCAAGCAACCAAATGTAAATCACGTGACCATGGGGATGCTGCAATGGTCCTAAGTGTGAAAAATGGTCCTACGTCCCTTTTCTCAGTGCCATTGTAACTTCAAACGATTACTAGGCAAACTATTGTACAAGGACTACCTGTACTTAAGCCAGTATGTTCTTTACCTGGGACGTGACACGTTTTGGGGACAGAGCCATTACATGTCAGCAACCTGGGTTTGGAAGTTAGGATATTGTATGAATCCAGCAGGCGAAACCAGGCAGGGGCTGAACAGAGTGTTGTTGTTTCCCTTTTATCACGCACCACTTCCTGTTTGACTGTGTCATAGTCAGGCGGGATCCGAGTCCCAGATAGCATCAGAAGCAGGTCTGGTGTCCTAATAGAGGCCTCTGGGGAGCCGGTGACTCATCCTCTGGATCCGCTTTGCTAGAAGCCGCTTCCTGCCCTGAGCTCAGGGAAGCAGATCTGCTTTTTTCCACACTGGCTTTATCCTTGTCTGCCTTCAGCAGGGCTGTTTTTCCTTTGGTGCCCAGGCAGTTTTTATACTCTTTTGTATGGTGTTTGATGTGGAAATACCTCTCCTGTAAAGGATTCTAACACAAAAAGCCAGCATTTCAGTTTGTTTGTTTCCTTCTTTCCTTCCCTCCCTTTTTGACTTGCAGGTCCTACAGAGAAAAGTCATCTAAGTAGAAATGATCAAATGTATTTATTCTGAGGACTCAAACCAGCTTGCAAATCCACCGACACCTTAGTCAGCTACCTTGTGTTCATAAACACCCATAAAACCTGGTATAGATACTCCTTCCCTGCTTGTACGTACATTTAACCCAATCAGATTACAGTGAGGAGTTTGCATTCACAGGTTGAACTTGATTCGTGGTCCTCTTGGGGGTTCTTTTTATGGTTTCGCATTTATTTTATGTAAAGCCACATAAACAGGTTTAGTCAATAATTTGAGTTAATAAAATTGTACACACACGACATACGAGAAACAATGCAGAAAGGATTAACCATCCCACAATAACCACCCTTTACATTACTGGCTGCTTAAAACACAGTGATGTGTTTTAAAGCTTCTGAACCAGCTTCTTAACTAATACACATTCTTTAACAGGCCCACTGTCTTCCAAATGTATAATTCCCGTGGCCAGATGAGCAAGGAGAATACAGAATAGAACACAGAATATCAGAATTGGAAGAAATCTTGGAAGTCTTCTAGTCCAAATCCCTATTCAAGCAGAACCCTACACAAATTCCAGACAAATGGCTGTCCAATTTCTTTTTGGAAACCTCTAGTGATGGAGCACCCACAACTTCTGGAGAAAAAACCGTTCTACTGATTAATTGTTCTCACTGTCCGGAAATTCTTCCTTAGTTCTAGGTTGGATCTCTTCTTGACCAGTTTCCATCTGTTGTTTCTCCTGCCTTCAGATGCTTTGGAGAAAAGATCATCTCCCTCTTCTTTGTGGCAGCCTCTCAAATACTGGAATGCTGCTATCACATCACCCCTGGTCCTTCTTTTCATTAAACTAGACAGACCCAATTCCATCTTCGTACGTTTTAGCCTCCAGGCCCCTAATCATCTTTGTTGCTCTTCTCTGCACTCTTTCCAGAGTCTCAGCATCTTTTTTGTATCCTGGTGACCAGAATTGGACACCGCATTCCAAGTGTGGTCTGACCAGTGCAGTATTAAAGCAATACTAGCACTTCTTGTTATCCTGACACTGTCCCTCTCTTGATGCAGCTTAGGGCTGCGTTGGTTTTTTTGGCAGCTGCCGCACATGGCTGGCTCATACTTAAGTGGTTGTCTACTAGGACTCCCAGATCCCTCTCACAGTTACTACTGCTGAGTCAGGTATCGCCTTTTCTATACCTGTGCATTTGGTTTTTCTTGCCTTGGTGTAAAACCTTATTTTTCTCGCTACTGAATTGCATTTTGTTAGCTAGGGGCCAGTGTTCAAGTCTTTCAACTTCTTTCTGAATCTTGAAGTGTATTTCTGAAGTGCTGACTGTTCTTAACAGCTTGGTGTCATCTGCAAATTTGATGAGTTCTCCTTCTATTCTCTCATCTAAATTGTTATCCAGGTGTTGAAGAATGCTGGGCCTAAGGCAGACTCCTGGGGTACACCACTTCATACTTCTCTCCATAAAGATGTAGTTCTGTTGAGGAGTACATGCTGAATGTGGTTTGCCAGCCAGTTACAGATCCATTTGGCGGTGATGCTGTCTATATTATCAATAAGTAAGCAGTAAGTATTTTGTCACGATGGATTACAGTTATAACCTAAGCTATCTGGAATGCCTGAAATTAAGTTTTCACTGACGGGCCTTTCGAGTTTGGTGCCTTCTGCTGTATTCAATTCTTATCATATACAGCTAGCCACAAAGGCAGATGTTAAACATGAATGAAAATGATTTTTTTCTTTTGCTATAAAGTTTGCACGTGTAACACTGTAATCAGCAAAACGTTCCATTTGTGATTTTCTCCAAGTATGTAATACAACTCCAGTTAACTGCTAATGACCATTGTTACAATTTCATTTTTAAAATATTTTTACCTCTAATTTTTTCCCACCTTCCATCTAAGCCACTTTTCCCTCTCTCTCTTCTTTCTAGGTTTATTCTGGACGTTAACTTTCTCTCCTCATGAAGGGCTTGCGGAAAATCACTCTAAACCTTTGGATGATTTGAATCAAGACGTTAATTTCAATGTTGATAATCTCTACATTTCACAGATTTTTAGTATCTATGAATATTAACATGTGTGGAGAAGCAAGAAATGGGGATCGGAGCACTTTAAATTCAAATACTTAATTGCAATTGATTTTGTAACAAGCTTATTTATTTAAATCTATATTTAGACTACTTTACTAATTTGGTGAATGAAGGACAATTTTAAAAAAGTAAAACGATGCCTACTTTTCTCTTTTTTTATTTTGGAATGTTGCACTTGTTGCCATTCTTCTGATTCATTTTGAGGATTTGACTAGTGATTAAATGACCTCTCCTAGTCTTCAGCCAGCAAAATCAGTCCCGCACTGCAGAACTGCTTGAGCCCAGGCCTGATACTGTGGTTGAGTACCATGTCATTTTATTAAAGGGATTCTTCATTAATAATGTTCCCTGTTGATACTCACACAAGGTCCATCATACGGCGCTGGGAATCTTCTCTCTGGGTTTGATGGGTTTCTAAAGAGATTCAGAGCGTTGGTGGTTCATCCGTAGCCTCTATTTTGTCTTGCTTGGCTTAGTTGCTCAGATGTTCTTTGAATGAGGGGCGTTCTATAACTTCTGGCTAATTATTTAGCTCATAAACCAGAAATTGACTTTCTAAGCCAGATGTGGCTGTTGCTTTTGCCAGATTTCTCCAGGGGCAAAAAGAGGGGGGGGAAATGGGGGTTTTCTTGCCCTAAAGCCCCTTCAAACTCTTTTCAAGGAAGCACTCACTGGTAAAATAACTTAAAGGGTTTTTATCCATCAGTGCAGCTGTTAAGGAGTTAAAAGCTCTAGCTTGGAAATGGATTGAAATCTCATCTCATGAAAGACTGGTATTTTTCAGATCTTATTAAACCTTTACAGCAGGCAGAAGATCACAGGTTGCAGAACATCTTGTTCTGTGCTAGCCTGTGAGCTTGCCAACTTCATGACATAGCAAACTGCTTTCAAAAGTAAAAGTAACTTGAAAAAAATGTTTTTCCCTTCAATTTTGCTATCAATCCCAAACCTGATTCAATGAAAAGATTTCTGAGTCAGTAATGAGGTTAAAGACCAAAACAGAACAACTGTAACTGATACTTCAAAGTATAGATGATACCCTAAAGATCTACTGTGTGCAGATGGTACACCCCAAAAGACAAATAGTCTTTTTCTGTGGTGTGCATGTGCATGTCTCTTTAGAGCAAAGCATGCACAAAAATGTTTCCAACAGTTAATGGTAGGCCTTTCAAGCAGGTCCTTTCCTTGACCTCCTGGCTTTGTATCAACGAAAAGAAGCACTCCATTCCATATTTACACTGTGGGAGGGAATTGCGAAGAAGAACTGGGCAATTTTTAACAATTCTGAATAGCATTCAATGACTTTAGCCTTCAGGAAGTATTTGGTCCACTTTTGATGTGAAAGCAGATGCTGAAACTCTTCTTCATCACTGGAAGCTTCCACAAATTTTTTCAAATTGTTGAACTGATCAAAGCACTTGATGTCATCAACCTCTACACCCTTTTCAATTAAGTACGTTATACATGCTTCCACGTCACCCCAGCTTGGTGTGTCGCTTAGGGCCATCCAGGCGAAGCAGGAGAACTCCTGCAGAGACGCCATCCACATCTCCAGGTAGTCTATGCAGTTGCTGTAGAGGCGATGCACTGCATCGGAGAAGGCGTCGCATTCGGCCTCCAGCCCCTCCTTGCGCTTGTCCGCAAGCATCCCCTTCACCGTCAGGGACACGAAGTTCTGAGCTCTTCGGTCGAGCAGGATGGTGTGCACGGAGTCCAGCGTCCTCATCACTTCCACGATGGAGTTGTTTTCCCGTTCCATCTCTTCGATGTGTAAGTGGAAGGCGTTCATCAGCGAGTGCATGTGCCAGAGGTAGAGCTCGCTGAACTCGTGCTCAAAGAAGCTCCTGAGCACGGTGGGCGGGTTGCTCTGGCCCAAGAAGAAGGACTTCAAGGCCGAGTGCATCTGAAGCAGCTTTGTGATGCCCGGGAACAAGGACAGCCACCGGGTCTTGCTGTGGGAGAGCAGCCGTTTGTACTCCACCTCCACAAACTCACAGTACTCTTGCAGGGGCTCGGTCCGCACTGCGTATATGTGGAAGTACTGGTAGATCTTCAGGACGATGTTCTCTATGTCCACCTCCAGGGCGTCTGCTCCGTGGTGGATGCAGTTGTGCAAAACGTGGGCCGGGCAGTACACCCCAATCAAAGTCTCTCTCTGGAGGGCTCTCCTCAACTTGGCCAACACAGTCCTCGCCTCCCCGTCTTGCCGAAGTTCACCAAACATGGTGTTGCAGTTGTCCCCTGCAAAGGCCATGCATTTCTGGAGCAATCCGTGTTTCTTAAGAGCTTTGACGAGATAGTCCGAAATGGCGTCGGCCGTCTCAGTGGGCGTTTCCTGAAGTTCCAGCAGTTTGGTCTTCAAGCCGCCGTTCCTGTAGTCGTAATATTGGATGAGCACCGGGACCATTTTCACGGCCCTGTGATTGCTGTCGTCTATAGCCACCCCACAGAAAGGGATGCCGCTTTCTTCCAGGGCCTTCAGGTCAATGCTGACTGCATGCTGGGCAAGCACAGAGTTCTCAAGAGCTTCTGTCCTGGTCCGGGTGTGGGAAAACTTTTGTGCTGTCTCTGCATCAGGGAATATTTTTCTGAACAACTCAGATGTACGCCCTGTTGTTTTGTAGCTGTTGCAGTTTGGGATAGTATGCAAGGCCAGAGTGCTGTCGGCTGCAGCAAGAGCGTCCTCTGCTTTCGTTCCCGGAGTCACCAAAAATTCAGTCAGCTTTGCAGACCAACTGTCTCCTCCAAGGGCTTTCTTGTGCTTTTCAGAGGACATGTGATACTCCAGATCACTGGCACCTTTATGTGCCACTGACACAAACGTGCCAGCTTTGCAAACCAAGCACTCTGCTTCATAGTCATCTCTACCTTTACGAAAATGAGGATATTTCTGCTTCAGTTTTTCAGTAAAGACACATTTCCGTTTAGGCATTTTCTATCTTCAGTGTGGCTCTGAGTCTGGGAATACTGCAGCAACAAAGTACAAGAACAGATTCAGGAAAGGTAGATAAACTCTAAATATTCAATCAATATATTCTATTTCATCTTAAATATTTATTCCACACACATTATGTTTATAATTAGAAATAAATTATTTTTCTTACCAAAACTGGTATAGGCTGAAGGATGCAGTTTATTCAAGTTTAAGTCTAGCAGCTGTCTTATTTTTGATATTCAATGTCCAGAGACATTCTTGAGACACTGTGCTCCTCAGCTTATTCTGATCAGTTTCGATTTTGAAGAAATGTCTTTTTGTTCTTGTTGCTGTCACCTAAATACCGGTAGTTACAAACTGCAACAGAGCTTTCACATATCTAGGGGAATTAGAAGACAGATATGGTTCTCTAGTAACAGGAAGTGTTCCTGGCCTGTACCCTATTACTCTTTCTGGTGAATGGACCTCATTAGAGGCTGAGCCTAAAATAGTGTTGGATAGTTTCTGTCAAGCATATTGTAGGAATCCAACTATTGTCTTAACATTGTATTTATATGTGAACATAGTATGGGTTATGTTATCCTGGTTTAGATTCAACTATGTTGCATAAAGCAAGGCAGTGTCCTACATTAGTTCAAGGAAAATTAACTTCACTTCTATAGGGAGTGTGATTATACATGCACAGTTGTGGGTTGCCTTCTAAAGGGGGCTGTGGTAGTGTAAGAATATAAGGGGACTGCATTCGAGGCCTTTCTCAGATAACAAGCATGCATTCATCCCAGACTCATACCAACCTCTGCATAAAGAAAACCAAGTTAAGTGATAAGTGACATTAAACCAAAAGGCTGCTCAAATGTCTTCCTTACAATATTTGTATAAAATCATGCATAACTCAGAAAAAGTGCACGAGGAGATTTTCTAGAGAGCACATCATTAATCTGTGGAATTTGTTGCTACAAAATGTGAAACTGAATACATTAATGAAAGAGGGTCTATCAAGGACTATTGCAATTGAGGAGTCATGAGAATAGTGGGGGGAGGGGAGGAAGGGACACCCCCCCCAAGGCCATATGAAGAACCAAAACTGCCTTGGCCAATTCAGCACAGCAGCTCCTGTGACTGGTAACCATGGAACCCTGGGAATAAACTGATGCCAGGTTAGTCAAATGACACAGATGTTGCTAAATGGTCCAGTTGTGTTCTCAGGTCACCCTTACTTGCTCCTCAACCCATCGTAAAATGTTGGTGGGGGAAAAAGAGGTTTCCTTGGGAGAAAAATCTTCCCTTTTCCTGCAACAGCTGTTTGGAATTGAAGTTAGGGAAAGCTGGGTCAAGCCCAGAGCTCAAGGTCTACAAAATGCTGAATAAAAAGTCCCTGATAATTACACCAAATATTTTGGTTTTATAGAGCTAGGAGGAGTGGATTCTGCACCAGAACAGGAGCCACAAATACAGGCTTTTCTTCTGCTATTTCTGCTGTGTACACACACACCCCCAAACGCCATCATCTTTTATTCCAGGGCAAAAAAGTGAATTCCAGACATAATCAAACTGAGATTTTAGTTACTATATCTATGAGGCAGGAAAAAACAGAAAAGCAAAGGTGATGCCAGTGAAAAATATTTTGTTTGAATGGGAGTGCAGAGAGCTTTCTCTTGCCCCGCTCAGAAAGTTAATTTTTTCAGCACAAATCTGCTCACATTAACAAATTCTGATCAGTTTGGCTCCTCTGTGAACTTCTTTTTTGCTGTACTAGCAAGTGCATATATTGGGCCATACATTTTATATCCTATCTATTGAATCTTCCACTTGGTTTCCCTCGCTAAAGCATATGGAACTGTTTCAATAAACACATCTTAAACTTAGCACTACCTAACTCTGGGATCTGGCTGGAAACTGGCTTAAGAAACTCTGCCCCAAAACCACAGATCAGAACCAAGCAACCCCCTCCTCCCACTCTTACGCTAGATATTAAAATACCACCTTTTATTGCTAACATGGCTGCGGACACAAGCAGATACTGCACGTGTAGTCATGGAGAAAAAACATTTAGTTAAACCCTGGACCTTTCTCAGTCAAATGCCTATTTTCCCAATGAATATGCCTGTGTGTGATCATTTTATTAGGATTTATTGTCTGCTTCTCTACCAAAAAAAAAAAGTACTCAGAACTACTTAGATAAAAATATCCAATGAAGCACACTATGCATTGCTTTTCTTAAAGTTTGTTCCACGCCTTCAACCCTCTTTCTTTTGAACTCTACCGCACTCCTTCCAGCTTGTCCTTTTTTGGCTTTGGAGCTGAGTGGGTTCTTTCCTATTGATCCGCTGTACATCAAAGAGCTTTTGAGATGTTTTACAACAGTATTATTGCTATACTCTCAATCAACAATAAACAACCGCATCAAACAGAAAAAAAAGGTAAAGGGAAGCCATATCTGGGTGCAAAGTCCAGACCATCGAACAAGGATACAGGGCTGTCTGTATTCTGTTTGCTGGCCACTTAGTGGCTGGCTAGATTCTTGCAAGCTAGTTATGGCAGTCCCACACATCCAGGCACTCCTAAAGAGGGTGTCCCCCAGCCTAGACGAACCCCTGCAACTGTTAACCTCACCTCACAGAAGGCAGGTACACAGAGAAAGCTCTGGGTACCTTCTTTCCTTTCGGTGCCTTCCAAAAATCCTGGAACTGAACTCTCACGCATCCACACATTCACACGCATAAGCCTGGATGGAGGAAAATTCCATGCAGCTCCGGGGGAAGTGGTGGTGATGGGGGGGGGGGGGGAAGTAAAACAAGATCCGGCTGGTGATTCGCCATCTTGCTGATCCTCCCACTCCAAGCCACCACAAATAGCTGCATGGTACAGAATGCAACTGAAAGGAGGTGGAGTGGGGGGTGGGGAGCCACCACCCTTGGGGTGAGTTTGCATAAGTATATTTATATAATTCTGCAGTTGCTGTTGTCAGAGCAGGTGAGATATTCTGTTTGGAAAACCAACATGCGCACATGAGTTTCTTTTCTGGATGCATGCCCTACAGCGAATCTGGAACTAATGGTGAGAGGTTGGATTTCTAACGCCCTATAAATAAACAAAAAACAAAATATTGACTGTCTATCTTTGCCCTTTTTCATTCTTGGCCCAAGTCTCCCAGATGCATTGCACAACAGGTTCCCACCTCCCTCAGTCTCAGAAACTGCACGCCCCACGTCAGCCAAACATTGCCCTAAACCCAGTCTGTACATTACATTTAGGCATCTGACGCCATATACATTTGTGCAGGCATACTGATTTGTAAACCACGATTTAAGGTTCATAGGAACATGTGAATTTTACTATTTATTTAACAGACAAGAATAAAAGCACTTCATGGCTTAATTGAAAGTGTGATTCAGTATCTGAATTTAGATACCCTGTATGACCCACTATGGTTTTAGTTCGGTATTGGTTTTAGTTCGGTATTTTGGAAGCTGTGGTTCCTGGCTGACTGTAGTATAATTTATAAAGGGAGGTGTGGCGAACTTTTGTGCAAACTCAGAATTGTCTGCAACTTCATCCCCCTAACGCCAGCCACTTTAATCTTCTGTAAGCTCTATCATCTCCAGTAACTTCCATCTGACATGGCTGCCCTAGCCTTTTTAGGACTCAGACAGCTAAAAAGGCAGAGCTTTTCATGACAGTGGAAAAGTACAAGTACTGAATCATTTTTTTCTGCTGCTGTTTCTTCTTTCTCTTTGCAGCTACGTACTACCACCTCTGAGCTGCAATCGCCATGAAATGTAAAACTGGATAAAATAAGAAATGATAAAACTGAAGACAGAAAACATAACACAGTAAAATCGTCATAGTGAGAAAAATCATTGGTACCAATCCAATCTAAAGTGAGATTTCTAAGGGAGGCCATTCCAGAAGATGGGAGTCCACCTCAGAAAACTCTTTTACCCTCCCAAACGGAGGGGACTAAAAACATCTCCAACAATGACCAGTGCAGAAACCAGTATTTGCAAACAGTGGTCTGAAAATCCTTAGGAGTCCAATCCAGGAGAGGCCCTAAAGGTAAAACAGCATTTTGAATTGAAGCCAGAAACTTACCGGCAGTCAATGAAGCACTCACAGTTTGGGTGTCTGAAGCAGCTTCTCCCCGTCCACGTGAAGCAGCATTCGTCAAGTTTCTGTGTAATCTTCAGGGGCATCTCCATGTAAAGCACATGGCGGTGATCTGATCAGGTGGTCATAAGGCCCTGGTCCAGCTCCAAATGAAGCTGCAACTGCTGCATCAGTTACAGGGGGGCAAAGGACTCCAGCAGTGGCCTCTTCCACCATGCATCCAGCAGGATTCCCAGTCTGAAGACTTGCTGACAGCCCATCCAAAGTTAAGACTGGAGCACAAAGGTGGTCTCTAAACAAAATGTGCATCTGGTTAATATTTACCTTCAGCCTATTTCATCCCACCAAGACCTCAAGACACCAGATGAAGCCTTCTACAGTGTATCTGGCCCCGTAGAGGTAGAAATATTGATACTGATGATAATGGCCTTCAAACCAAACAGCTATCCTGTTAAAGTAGGGGTGAGAGCGCTCAATCTTGCAGAAGCCCCCTCTCCCCCTTCCAGTGAACTCCTACCAGGGTAATCTCATTTCCACCCCCCATGGGTACTACCCATTTACCATAGGAAAGAACAGACCTGCACTAAAGACAGGGTGCCTAATCTCCAACTGTCATGTGAGAACCACAGATGCATCATGGTGGATGGTGTCAAAAACGGTTCCAAAGTAGGGCTCCTCCACCCCGTCCTTGATCCCAATGAAGGTCATCCACCTTCATTGGAGAAGAAGGAATTGGAAGAACAATGAAGTGAAGGAAAAGACACCAATCTTCATAAGCCCCAGTATATTCCCTCAGTGCCATGGTATACAGGTAATCCTCAACGTACGACCACAATTGAGCCCAAAATTTATGTTGCTACATGAGAAATTTGTTATGTGAATCTCACCCCATTTTACAACTTTTCCTGCCTCATTTGTTAAGTGAGTTACTGAAGTTGTTAAATTAATAACACAGTTAAGTGAATCTGGCTTCCCCATTGACTTGGCTTGTCAGAAAGTCACAAAAGGGGATCACATGACTCCGGGACACTGCAATGGTCATAAATGTGTCATTTGTCAAGCGTCCAAATGTAAATCACGTGACCATGGGGATGCTACAACGGTCATTAAGTGTGGAAAATGGTCCTAAAATGTTCAGTGCCGCTGTAACGCTGAACGGTCACTAAATGAGCTGTTGTAAGTCGAGGACTACCTGTATAGGTCCTTCAAAAAGGCCTACACTTGAAACATCAGAGACCTCAACCAGAGAAACAAGAATTTACCTCACCAGGAGAACGGTCTAATAATACTGTAAAGGTGCTTGTGAGAACTGGGGTGCCTTGACCCGTAAGAAAGATTGCCTAGGAGAGACCTGGAAAAGTTGGAGCAGGGGGTTGGACTAGATGACCTCCAAGGTCCCTTCCAAATCTGTTATTCAAACAGGAGACCCTTTCTGGACAAATGGCTGTCTCCAGTCTCTTCTTAAATCTCTTCCAGCCCTCCCCCTTTTTTTAAAATAATCCTTTAGCTTATCCAGGTCAACTAAAGAACTTTCGGTCACCTGCATTCGAAAATACAAATAAACCCAACAAAAATGGGCGGCCAGTTCAGCCAGCAGGTTTCCCCATGTTGTGTTCACACAACCAGTACATAATGGAAACTCGGGCCTATGGGTCAGTTCAGTCACCCGGGACTAACGGAGATATACCAACCCTGCCGAAATACGTAACAAAAATGTCTCCTCGCACATTGTGAAGAAAGCCATTTTCGTGCAAAATATCCCCTCAGAAAGCCCCGAAACGGAGCGGAGGGGAGAGGGAAAACAGCGTAGAAGAGCTTTTGCGCATGCGCGCTGCGGCCCTGCGGCATCCGGAACCTTCCCAGCTGCCTAGAACTGGTTTGAGCTGGCTAAAACCGGCCGCTCCTGCTCTCCCCCCTCCCTTCGCCTGGCGGAGCGGACGTTGCTGCGACATAATCGCCTCTCATCCCTCCCAGGTCTTTCGCTCACGGTATCCCTCCGCGCCGCATGAGCTCCGCCCACCCTCCCTTTCTCTCAACGTTAATATGGCGTCGGTGCCGACAGCGCACAAAATGGCCGCCGAGCGTCTTCGTCCGACTGAAAGGGGGGCTTTTGCTCCGCCCTTTTGGTTGCCCCTCCCCATTCCCGGGTCGGATTTCCATGCTGATATTGCATCTAAATAAATACGGTGCATAATCAGGACTCAAACAGGCATTGGAAGACAAAACAACTAAAAGAACTAAGGAAATGCAATTTCAGATGCATAGGATTTAATGTGCGGGGGGGGGGAAGAGTGGGCGAGGACATGTAGGCTATATTTCCACAATGCAACATGCTTTTACCTTATTAAGCATGCTTTGCAAACTCACAGGGAGGGCAGAGGGTGGGTCAAAAGCTGGTAAGTCATGAAGGTCCTTGATTGACAATTCCTTGGCTAGTCTACCTTGCAGGGCTGATCTGGGGAGAAACATGGACACTGCAGTATTGTACCTCAAAAGAACAACGCCGTATAAACTCTGTTTTAAAATCAAAATAAAAGCTGACTTAAACCCCTACAATGGCATTTGGGAACCAACAGTAACTTAAATTTGGGACACTTTCTGTAGCTAGGTTATACAGAAATTATTGTATTCTAGCTTAAAAAACAAATATGTAGTTTGCTCCTATCTTCCAGCAGACAAGGCCTCACACAGTTTAGGTACAGGTAATCCTTAACTTACAACCACAGTTGAGCCCAAAATTTATTTTTACTAAGTGAGAAATTTGTTAAGTGAGTTTTACCTCATTTTATGACTTTTCTTGCCACATTTGTTAAGTTAGTAACATGGTTGTTAAGTGAATCTGGTTTCCCCATTGACTTTGCTTGTCAGAAGGTTGCAAAAGGGGGTCACGTGACCCAGGGACACTGTGTGAGTCAGTTGTCAAGCATCATAAATGTGAGTCAATTGTCAAGCATCCAAATGTAAATCAAGTGACCATGGGGATGTTGCAACAGTCATAAGTGTGAAAAACGGTCATAAGTCACTTTTTCAGTGCTGTTGTAACTTTGAACGGTCACTAAATGAGCTGTTGTAACTTGAGGACTACCTGTATTGCATTATAAATTACCTATTGAGGCAGAATATAGGAACAATCTTGCATAATTTTTCCTAAATTGTTTTATATTGACAAGGTTCAGCAAATTATAGTGGGAGGGGGTAAACAACACAAGGAATAATATGGAATTTTAACAATATTTTGGGGAACATATTAGTTGGGAGGGGGAAATACTAATTAACCAACTAATCAACAAATCCTAGCAATAGAGGGCCTTTGTATACAAGGCACTATTTTTTCTGACGTAAGTGGTGGAAGGACCTGCAAATTCCAGGGTGTGAGATGTCAAGCTATAAATACTGGCTCTAGCCCCTCCGTTGTTAGAGCTGCAGGGAGGCTAAGATAGGGAGGGTGGGTTTGCTGAAAGGATAACTAGATTTTTAAAAAGGAAAATAAACAGCCTAAAAATTCTTAGAAAAGGGATAGCTAAAGATATTTTTTAGCGAATGAAGAGGATTTTACTCAGTTATAATACTAGAACTAACAGCTGTTTACTGCTTAAAAAGTATAGGCAGCCTAGGCATTCTAATTTAAACCAGAA